TAATTTTATAGTAAAATTCTCTGTATATTTTTTACGTATAAAATCTCTTTACTTTAAGTTGTATATAAAGTTATTACAAGTGTAAATCGAATTTTGAAATTTTAAAAACCTTAAGCTAGAACCTAGATAATGCAGCCCTGCTAAGGTCATAAATGATCATGAATAGCTTGGGTTACTTTAATTGCACGATTTAATGATGAAAAGAAAAAAAAACGCAATTTTTTTCTTATAACAGAAACATTTCTCATATACATTCAGTTTTCGATATTTGCTTGAAGATTTAATTTATCTCATCTCAAGCAGAAGTTTGAAGAATTTCTTAAATACTTGTGAAACCATGAAAAGATATAGTCCATCAAAGATAGTAAAAGAATCTTGTTTAAAAGGCTATTACCCACCGAACCTCAAAAGCGTAACATTCACACGCTCTCGTAGGTGAGACTTCCAATACTAACTCACGTTCACAGAAGATAAACTCACGTGAGTTCGGAAAACTCCCGTCCCAACAGCTGAAGACTCGAGTCTTCCTGCCGCGTTTCAATATAAAGCGTCACCACCACCATAAAGGAAGAATTTCTTCCTTCTTCACGAACCACTACCCTAACTGAATTCCATAATTCAAGGAGTCGCGAATTTCTGTGTGGCGGAGCGTGCGACGCAGTTCGTTGTACCATCGCGGAAATTACCGGGAGTCGAAAGGAAAATAAATAAATAAAATGATGATCCAGAAATTTTTCCCATACGAGCATCTTTTGAGCAAATTCGCGTTGCGATTATAGATTCCTCGGCAACGCTTGGGAAGAGCCGGTAATTACCCATTGCACGATCTCTTCTTTGAACTTAACCGAGAGTAGTACGTGTTGCTAACTTCAAAATTTATAAGAGAAATCTTCCTGTCTTTTCACCGCGAAATTTTAAGCACAATGCCACGTTTTGCATGGTTTCCATTCTGTATTTATGACGTACTTATGTAGTTGCAGACAGCAACCAGCAATCATGTTTGGATAGGTATTATTGACTTAATGCACCGGATGGACTAACTTTAGAACAAGTCCAGCAGAACATCCAAACTGTCTAGAATGTTATATTTTGCATCTAGTAAATTCATGAAACAGATATCACAATGCTTATTTGTTAAAAAATTCAAAGATTTTCTATGATATTTTTTAGAGTTAAGAAAAAATGCCTAAGCGACCACATAGCTCAATTCCCATTAATTCTCTAGATAAAACCAATGATTACTTGTGTTAGGAAGTTCGAAAAAGAGAGTCAATGATCTGTAGCAGCAATAATATTAGTTGCGGCAGTATAGTGTTATTAGTGGAATATGTCGTTGAAATGCTTGTTCTTCGGAATCCATTATACAAATGCCATGATTTCTCTCGTCAATAGAAATCTATTATATTGGAAAAAGTAGCAAATACAAAGGTTTTATAGCTTTTGTTTGATTACGATATGAACATGAGGTCAAGAACAGCATTATGTGAATATTATTCGATTCGTATGCTCTATATATACTTCATCCTCAGTTTTATATGTCGGATCGTTTTTATTATTATTATTAAAAACTCGAGAAAAATCACTATAGATGAATGATAATCTATAGATGTACAGAATAAATATTCGATTTCTCCCCCATCCTTTAAAAAAATAAGCACTGCATTTCTCTTATTTGACATTCAGAATTTGGAAGAGTTTCCATTCAAAATTAAATATTATATGAAATTTAAAAAAAAAAAAAAAAAAAACTGCTAAATTTTTTGTTTGTACTTATTAATAATTCAATTCTATTACTTTTTAAAGTATATACAAAAAATGTTACTTTTTGAAATAACAGCTTTAATGTAGAATAACTTTCTGCTGTTTTTATATGTTTCTTATCGGTCCATCGAAAACAATCGTTTAATCGGCATCGGACTGTATTTACGTAAAAAGGCAAAAACGTATAGCTTATTACTAATAAAAACTTTTAGAAACTTTTCTAAAGTTTCATAATGGTCATAAAAAGTTTGAACATTTGAATTATAAATAAGCTGATTCTAAAAACTGCGATTAAAAAAAGTACTTTATTTAAAATTGTAACTTCAATTTAAAAATTTTTCCTAGGAAAATTTCATCATTCTATTAATTACGTATTTTGATATACATATCATCAAAGCTAATTACACTTTCTTTTTTTATAAATTTAAAACAGTATAACTTTACTCTTAAACTTTCTCTTAATAACTTTATCGTAAGGCACAGAATCTCACTGTTAATAACTTTACTCATAACCTTACTCTTACAACGAATCTCACTGTCTGACCTTACTTTTACGAACCTCACTTTGTAGGGTTTCCCTTAGTTCAGTTAACCGATTATTCAAATTTTTGTTATCTTTCCTGAACGTCTCATCTTCCCCTCGCATTTCCTCGCCAGGATGCTAATTTAAAGTTAAGTGAAGTGAGTTCAAATGGTTAAATTTTTTTAGTTTATTCAGTGCTTGTTCGCTATCCAGCGCACGTTTCGTTTATGACCTTGCTGTTACGCCTTTTGGCCATTTAAATAGTTTTCATGCTGGTTAGGTTGTCGAGTCAACCTAGTTAGCCTTAAATTAAAGTGCTTATCCAGCACTACTCTTTTCTTGACTTGAATTTATTGTGTTACGACTCTTAAATTCCACCTCAAGTTGTCGCTGTTATTGTAAAGCACGAAGTACGTGCTCTCTTGTTCTTAGTTGAGAATAATAAAGGCTTATTTTTCACTTTTCTTCTGTGCTGGTATTATTTCACGCCCGTGCAAGAAGTCGCCAGGTCCGTTAGTAGGATCTAGTAGAGCTTATGTGGCCAAAGAGAGAAAGCTCCTAAATAACTGCTATTAACCTGTTATTCATAACCTCACTCTTACAATAAATCTCACTCTTAATAACCTTACTCATACCTCACTTTTGCAACGAACCTCACTCTTAATGAACTTAGAAATAACCTTGCTCTTAATAATTTTATCCTAACGCAATAAATGCTTGTTGTAAGAAAAGTGTTCTATTTATTAGGCTAAAAATGAACAAACAAAATTCGAATGCAATAAAACAATTTAACGAATAAATAGTTGGACATTCTTATTTTTTTTTTTTTTTTTAAATTTAGGCAATGATTCTTATTCCTGTTCTTTCTTTTTCTTTTCCTCTCTTTTCTTTTCTGTCAAATCCACTAGAAATGCAAATGAATTGAGTTAAAGTTCTGAGCAAAAATGTAAATTTAGAGGGAGAATATTAACATCTTCAGCTAGTAGCGCTGAAATTCTCCTTCTTTATATGCCTGTTGGATAGCGGATAGATTTTGTGAGTTTGTCTTTGCTAGTATTACGCTAATAATCATATTTGATTTGAAGCTGGGTAATTAGCCTCTAATTTAGTATTTGATTTGTATATATTTAAAGTATTTTTGTGTTTTCAGCCGCAGAAAGTGTAATTTAAGTTTTTATGCTCTAATCTGTAAATATTAATTAGTAGTATTAACCATCCAGTCTGTATACCTGTACAGACATTCACTTGCCGAAGACGCGGGCCCCACACTTCCCGGGTCAACGGACTTTTTAAATTCTTCTAAACCCACTACTGAATTGACCATTCGGGGTCACTACTCTCGGCCCACAATGGGGTGAGCCTTATGAGCCTGAAGATTTGACTTTTCGTCTCGCTCTTATTAGTAATACACGGGCTGCCTAATAGCTTATGCACTTACATAGAGCTTACACCAACTTGTCCTATTAAACCAACTGAGTCAATCCAAATGTTACGTGGTACAACCGTGTTTGAGTTTTTACACTTCCCTTTGCAGATCTCTACCATAAATTACCCCTGGAGGGAGTGCTTCGTAGCATGAATAAACTTTTAGTTGCTGTTACTGTTTAGTATTCGCTTAATCTTTTTTGACTTTAAGTTAAAGAGAAAAATATAATTCATCTGCAAAATAGCCAAGTTTAACAGGTGTTTAAATTAAGCGGAATTGGATTTAATATTACAAACTATATGCATCGTTTCAGTTAGAAGCTGATATTTTCCAACAAGTGTTTTGATTTTCATATTATGTTCATCATTTCCACAAAGCTGGAAAGCAGACGTAAATATAATCAAGATAACACGCCGAACAAGTATTAATTTAGAAGTCAAACAACAAAAATCAGAGTTACATTTGGAAATTTTCACAGGACTAGTTTCGATGGATTTATGGAACCCTCATCTTCAGCTGCAAAAGCGCAAATGAACAAGATAAGATATAGTGATCAGATAAGATAAGATAAGAATGGCTGAACAAGACTTAAGCTACTGGCCGCCATATTATTGATAAAACAAGAACTAAAGCATAGTTTCCTTAAAAACTGAAGGCAAAGATGGATTAGAATTAGGGTCGTTAAATTGGAATCAGGGCCAAATTATTCAAACAAATCTTCCATTGGTTAATTAGATTTTCTAGAGGCGTTTCACATTCAAAAAATTCTTTTTCTTCTAGTTAGCGACCCTAATTCCAATCCATCTTTACCTTCAGTCTTTAAGGAAATTATATTTTAGTTCTCATTTCATCAACAGATAGCGCTAGTAGCTTAACATCTGTCCAGTCATTCTTATCTTATCACTATACCTTATCTAGTTCATTGGCGCTTTGGCAGCTGAGGATGATGATTCCGTAAAACCACTCTAAAACAACTCCGTAAAAAACTCTGATTTTTGTTGTTTGACTTCTAAATTAAGACGTAAATATGTTATATTTGTAAGAACAACATTACACATCTATAAGAACAGACCTACATTATACTGAAAGCCCATTTAGTTAAAAAAATTATTTAAAATTATAGAGTATTATATTAAAAATTTTAGCAAAATTCTTATCTTCCAGTAAAATTTGTATTAAAATACTATTAATTAATTTTTACTGTGCTATAATTCACTTACAATTACTTTTGCAATCTAAGTAATTTTTTTGGCTCTTCAAGTGTATAAATTCTGCCCGTTTTCATTTCAGGAGCGTCGTGACCTTGTGAGTGGTCACGCGGCGAGCTTAGGCCCCATTACAAGCATCGGCTCTGTAGGCTCGACGGCCACCTTTAGTAGCACGCCCCGGCTCACGCACACACCCACTTCAGCGGACTTTCAGCCGCCTTACTTCCCACCCCCTTACAACTTACCACAGCAGCAGCTCGACTTCCACCACGCGGCACACGCTGTCAATGCCGCTGATCCCTATGGACACCTCAATAGTCTTGCAGCCCAGCACCCGCAGCACCAGTACCACCAGCTGCATCCCCCACCACAGAGGTCACACAATGTCCGTCGGCCGGACGACGACCCCCTCCACCCGCTCCAGACAGCAGGCATGCATCCGGGCCTATCTGCGACGTACGCGGATTCTGTGCGAGGACGTACGGATCCGGCATACGCTGCTGTCCGTAGGCCGGACGTACTTGTTCATGGGGGGCATCATGGACTCAGTGAACAAGATCTGCTCAACCTCCACAACGCCACTCTTCCCGCCATAGATGACGGACAGGTAAGAGAGACTGTTTGCATATTTATTAAATTTCAGTTGAGACTTGGTATAAAATTCTAAAATTATTGTTAGAAAAATGGTACATTAATAATACCATTTAGTATGTTAGCAATGTAAGGGAATTTAACACTAGTTTCATATAGATAGGATAAGAAGACTATAGTTTCATATAGATAGGAATTTCATAAGAAATAGCATTTGTTTTTCTTTTTTTATGAAACTCTCCATCAGGGAAAACAATGCTGTGTGTTTTAAAGTGAACAATTTATTGCTTATACGAAATCTTTACTCCTTTTTTTGCCAACTTCACCATGTAAATTAGAGCGAGTAAAAAATCACGAATAAGAAAGTGAGTTCAGCCAGCACCGCTGTAACTCTCACATTTCACATGTGGTATAAACTGTGTTCATTTTAGGTGAGTTTGGGATTTTACTAATAATAACATTTAGAGGATTCGTCAAATTGGAGCAGCACAGTTAATTGTTTAATGCGATGGTTGCGTTACAAATAATTAAATTATTATTGCATTTTCAACCCACAAGTAGCAGTTGGCTAGTTGATGTTTTAATTTCGTAACTTCTTGAAATTTGCAGTCGAAGTACAAATTAATCTTTAGTTGCTTTTATTTTTATCATGCTAAGTTTTGCACTTGGATTCTGAAGTAAAAACCAGATGCAAATTTCAAGTGTTTAGACTTTGAGAAGTTACGTTTAACCTTAAGTAACGTTAGTTTTAACTGTTGATAGCTTCAACTCATATATATTATGCGTCACATCTAAAAATGAAGATAGGAATATGTCTAAATGAATGCCAGTATTTAGTTTGTTCAAGCATTATATAAGATGGAAATACCAAAATAATATGAAGGATGATTTTAATGCTTAATGCACCATTATAATTTAAAGGTGAAATATATAATTTTCACTTGAAGATTTCTTACGTTGCTTCTGTAGTCATTTATGCTTTTTAAGTTTTGGTCGGCATGTGATGGTTAGTAGAAGCAAGTTTCTAAATTAATGGAAGGGGTTTGAATGTCGAGGTTATTCGGATGTTAGTGACTCCACTATATTTTTAAATAAGGACACTCTAAATATTTCCCTTCGAAAATACTTTGGATAGAATATTAAAAGAGGTAGAAAGATTTAAAATCTTAGATGTATATTTTACAGTTTTCCATTAAAAATTAAGAAGAAGCTAAGCAGATACCTCTTCTGAGCTTTACTAGATGAAAATCCTTTTCATTTCGCATGCTCCAAAACTCTACTATCTGAATTACTTAATGATAACTACGCAACCTGGATTATTAACAAAAATTATAACTGTACAATAATTTATCTAATAATTAAAGGTATATAACATAACTTATAGAGTTATCATTTAGTACATTATGAGATTTTGTTCTAGCGCGAGTTACTGATACAAAGAAAGAAAAAACATTTATTTCTGCATGTTTTTACATTTTCCGGGTTTACGAACAGGGTTTTTACATTTTTTATTTCTAGTTTTTAAGTAGCTTTAAAAACATAACACTGAAACGAGAAAAGATTAGTATTTTAAAAAAATCATTATTAAAATACTTTAGCCAAAATAAGACACCGTGGATGGTTTTTTACCTCTTACGTATACAATTTATTAGTACTAATGTCTGCAGAATAATTGTAACCTGGCCTCGGTGCTGTAAATAATAGCGCACATTCATGGCGAATTATTTATCTCATATCTCCATTACTTTATATTATAAGACGTCAATTATTCTATCAAAAGATGTTCTTACATAAGGGTTTAATGATTTAGATTACATGCATCATTAAAAGAAGTAATAACGCACATAGAGTCCGGATCATTACCAGATTAATAATTTTGGTCAAACGGATAACAGTCAGAAGAAGTTAATTTATTCATTTATTTTGTATCGTATCATTAACAAAGCTGCTTTGCATCTAACAATAATAAAATTCATCTTATTATTTAGCGGACTGTGTAAATGATATTAAAAACTTCGATATACATGTATATGACGCCAAGATTAATTATTCCGTTAATAACAGATGTGTGCCAGAAAAGAAAAACGTTGCTGGTTTTTCTTCTAAGCTGGCCGATTCACACATTAATCTCAGTTATAGGATTATGAACAGTTATAGGATTATGATTATTTAGCTAATAGCATATGACATAAAGCATCGAACGAAAAGTTATTGTTTTTTAATTACCAACCCGATTATGTTATCATGAAATATGTAATAGGTAAAAGTAAATAATTCTCCTCAGTAGGATTATCTACCATTTAATATCTACCATTATTTCTTCATGAAACTTGATGAACACTGCAAATTAAAATGTATTCTCCTATTTATATTATATTATCTTAATCGAAAATTTTGAGCAGTTTGATTAAGTGAGCCCACGTAAACTCTAAATTAGTAAAGTTCTAAAACAAAACACTATGCCGTGAAAATAAAAATAGTTAGGAAAAAATGTTACTCACCAAATGCTTCAACTTGAAGTCTTACAAATAAATGATTAACAAAATCTTTACCTTGTTTTATGTTTAAAAAAATGAAATAAAAAATAAATAAAATTATGTGAAATGGTTTACTAGTACGCTTAATTTTCGCAGACAACGACCCGTGAGAAGAGAAGGATACAAAGATTAATATTCAACCTGAGTTAAAATTGTGACTCTTGTTAAACGAAACTGGTAAATATGATTAATTGCCCAAGCTTCATCAAGACACTTTAAAATCTTAACTACAGATTTCAGTTTCTTCTGTATAGAATATTTTTGAACATATTTTGTTCGGTATCACTGGAGGGTGGGACTATCGGGGGAATTTTGGAAATTTCCCTAAGCTATATGGCCTTGTTACCTGATATCGATTGTTTTAAAACCGATTGGACTTTAACCATAATTTCATGATCTATACACCAAAATAAATAAAACTATTAAAATTTTTTTGAATGGTTTCATATTTTAAATTACTTCCAAATATGGAATGTAGAATAATAATGGAATATATAAATAAAAGCAAAAATAAATAAATAAATAAAATCTGAAAGGTTTCAGATTTTAAATTACGTCCAAAGGGACAGTTTTTTAACATTTTGTGTGCTAAATTTATTTATTAAATATCATATTAAATAATTATTTATTAAATAAATAATATTTATTTATTAAATATGTTCTTCGCACTTAAGCCATAAAATTTAGTTCAACAGCAATATCGCAAAATAATTTTAAAATCATTATATCTTTAGAATTTCCGATATACGTACAATCTCGCGCGCTGGAGGTAATTTCCCCTCTTCCCGGACAGTTTTGCCATTGCTCGCTTTGAAATCGTTTAGTTTGTGAATCAAAAATTCTTTGAAGTGCTACAAAATATAAAATCGATAATAAAACAAATTTGAAATTCAAATTAGGGCTTCCACATGCCCATATCCTATGGAAGATTACATTACTCGAATTTTGATGGCTCTAGATACCTTTGTTTTATCGCAATGCGAGAAACATAAATACATTCATGCAGATTCTTCATTATTTAATTTCCTTAAATATAATACATATAATACAGAGCGATAATGTTACGTGTCAACAATTTGAAAAGCGAAACAACGCTTATTGTGAATCGACGCAAAGTGACAAAACGAAATTAATACTCGTTCTGGGCAAATTGCCCCTTTGGACTAAAAATGATTTAACAATATACTTAATATGCGACCTTCACAAAACAGATATCAATAAACTCATGGGAGGAGAAAAAAAAGAGATTTGAGGATACTAAATAAAAATTAATGGTAAACGTATTAAATTCATCATCTTAAAAACTCGTTGCAATTACTTCCTGATAAACTCATAACTGATGGATATAATTCTTTAAACCGTAGCATAAAATGGAAAAAATTTATGTCCTGCCACCCCGCCGATTTCAGAATGATGTTGGCACTTTCATGCGAAACACTATTATTCAATTAAATCTTCACATGGGCGTTCCGGCATCTTGTTGAAGGCTGTATTCTTCCTAAATGTGCAAGAACCTTTTGTGTCTAGGCGAACGACGACCAATTCGGGAAAAGGCATTGTCACCTTTATGTTGGCTACAACAGTCAGAAAAGGTATTGCCACCTTTATGTTGGCCACAACAGTCAGAAAAGGTATTGCCACCTTTATGTTGGCCACACCAGTCAGAAAATGTATTGCCACCTTTATGTTGACCAGTTTATATCAGCAACCTCTTTCCCTGTTTGGTAGTTGAATTCCCTAGCAGCTGCATTCAGAATGGGAAGATTCAGGGCTCCACCCGTTTATTTTTCCTTAAACTGGAGTAAAAAATCATACAAATCTAAAACAAAAATAACACTGAAGTAAAAATAACTTTTCAGTGACATCAAAATTCGAGCAGGGCTCAATTTCAAAAATTAAAAGCACTTCAGACTTACAGGCAGCTGAAAGTCCTTCCTTGCTCTATCATGCAAAAAATAAGCAATGTGTCTAACTCAAAGCTTCTCATACGTTTTTCACTCGTGTCTCTTTTAGATAGTCTTCCAAATGTATCACTCAATTTTCATGATGCTGTTATTGAAACGGAGACTTAATTCAGAAAACCCCAAGATCTTTATTAGGATTAGTTAAAACCGTAACACTTTTCAAAAATACTTAAGAGAAATTAAATTTAAAAGATAATGAAATTTTAAAGCACATTGCAATACAAAAGGTCCGTATAATGCCTGCTATCTACGTATATGTATAGTATCTATAGTCTATATAGAACTCTAATTACCGAATATCATTTTAAAATGAAAAGAAAAACTTTTTAGAATTCTTCTGCATTTTCCATCAATTTTTTTCGTGAACCTTTTTTAAGCTGCGACTCTTAGTTCAAAATTTCTGATCTAGTTCCTTTATCATTTATATTTGCCATAATATAATGCATCAAAAATTAAATATTAGGGTTCGGTATTAGATTATTTTTATTTATTTAAGTTAATAGTTATATAAACGA